AGAAAACATTCTGATCTACTCCCCCTGCAACCAGGAGCCACCACTGACCCGCTCACAGAAGACAGTGGTTTTCCCATAAGCTTGCACAGGCCCAGGGGTTTCTTCTGCTTGGTAAATCTATGATGTCCCCAGCAGGGACACTGCCGCCTCAAACCGCTCCTGAAAAGCACCTGGGCAGTCCTGCGCCCTGGCCTTTCCTACGCATCCCCAAAGTGTGATGGAGCTGAGAGCATAGCAGGAAGGTTCTGTCGATGCCAGTATGAAGGTGGCATTGTGTTGAGCAAGTTTTGTCCATTTTGTCTGATTTCCCTGCTATAAATGAACATAAGAGCTGAAGGGCAGCTTTGTCCTTATTCCCCAAAGTCTTCCTGTAGGTTTTTAGACAAGACATTGAGTCTCTTGATCCCATGGAGGATAATCGCTTCCAGGGCTGTTGGCAAGGGTAGGAGCTGGCTGCCCTCAGTGCTCAGTAGCTTGAGGCTGAGTATTTGCTCCATTCCCTTGGGGAGAACAGGAATTATTTACTGGGGAAAAGATCCTCATTACAGCTGGAACATGTCCCAGGGACCAGTGCCTTTGAGAAAAAGCAAATTTGGTGATGAAACCAAAAGCAGAGGTGAAAAGGCCAGGCTGGTGATGGGGTCTTTGCTCAAGCCGAGCCCCATCAGCAATGCCTGATACGCTGCCAGGCCCGGGGACCGCCGGAGGAGCGGGGTCTCCCTGCAGCAACGTGTGCGGGTTCGGGGTTCGGGGCTCGAGCCCTGGCTCCAGCCCTGCCACTCTGCAAACAGGAAGCTGGCAAGCAGCTGCTGAATAAGTCATTTTGGGGAGTTTGTACCAAACTGGCTTTCAACTCCTTAACGTGTAGGAAGGAAAAAGCCATGAATACGCCTTTGTGACCAAGTTTGGCACCAGCCTCACTCTGCAAGAGGGACAAGAATGTGGCCATTTAGAGGGGAGTCAGCTGCCCTTTAAGAAATGAAACGATCCCTTCCCTTTCCTGCGAGGCTTTATTCAGGGGAGAATAGGAACGAGACAGTGAGCAGCTTCTTTTTCTGGCTGGCACTGAGGGCTGGGGGGGGTTACGGCCCTCGCTAAGGTAGTAGGGCCGGGGCGTAAGGGTGAAATGGGGAGCTAGGGAGTTAAAATAGGATCTGGAAATTAGGCTCTCAAGAAATGAAGGTATAACCTAGTTTAGAGATAAAGATAGAAGCCTTAGAGATCAGGCTCGAGGCTCATTAGTTAAAAGATAACTAAGATTAAATAGGATAATAGATCATAGTTGATGGGCTAGAGAGCAGAACAATAGAGAAACCTTGATTAATGGAAGCTGTGAGGGAATGCTTCCTGATGGAATAGGAAGACAGCCCTAAAAACTGGTCAAAACCAACCCTATGGTCTGGCCTGAGTCAGGGAGGCTACAGAGCCTGCGCAAGAAACCGAGGTAAGAAGTTCAACAGTGAGGAAGAGGAGCTACTTCATCTCTGGGACCCCAGCCCACGGCCGCCGGGACACACTGCGCAGATGCAACTAGGAGGAGACTGGGGCGGAACATAGGAAAAAGACTTGCAGGCTCATTATAATAGGAAGTGGGGATAGGTCATGCATATGTATAGGTGTATTATGAATTTGTGATGCTTTGTAACATAAAGCCAAGACAAGGTGCCACGAGAGGTGCACACATTTGTGATGGACCATCCCCTGTGTGCCTCAGCGCTGAATATACCTACTCTCTAACCTTATATGTTGTGGAATAGCGTTTCTGCAAGTCAATGGGGGGTGTCTGGACTGAGGCGTTGTTCCCCAAGCTAGGCTAGCAGCTTGCCATCTTCTCTATCCCACTCATGGGCAGGAGGTTGCAGGGCCCCTCAGGGCAGGTGGCCTGTGTGGGGACCCTCTGTTGTAGCCTGAGGCGGGGGCAGGGTGGCTGCCATCTTGTATTGCCACCCCACATCCCTCTGCAGGGTTGCTGAGAAGCACTTGTGGAAAAACTGTGGTGATTAACAAACAAAATTCAGCACGTGCACGTGCTGTTCAGGTGACACCTTCACATAAAAGACCCTAGGGAGTTAAAAAAGCCTGTAAGACACATCTGCCTGCACCAAGCAGGTGCAAGTGACCAGCAGGTTGAGGGAGGTGATTGTCCCCCTCTGCTCTCATAAGACCCCACCTGGAGTACTGTATCTAGCTCTAGGGCCCCCAAAATAAGAAGGATGTAGACCTGTTGGAGTGAGTTCAGAGGAGGACCACAGACATGATCAGAGGTATGGAAAACCTCCCTTGTTAGGACAGCCTGAGAGAGTTGGGATTGTTCCTCCTGGAGAAGAGAAAGCTCTGGGAAGACCATATAGCAGATTTCCAGTAATTAAAGGGTATCTATGGGAAAGATGGGGAGGGGCTTTATCAGTGATAGGGTGAGGGGTGATGATTTTAAAACCAAAAGAAGTTACATTTAGATTGGATATAAGGAAGAGATTCTTTGCTGTGAGGGTGGTGAGACACTGACACAGGTTGCCCAGAGGAGCTGTGGATGCTGCCTCCCTGGAAGGGTTCAAGGCCAGGTTGGATGGGGATTTGGGCATCCTGGGCTAGTGGAAGGTGTCCCTGCCCATGGCAGGGGGGTTGGAACTAGATGATCTTTAAGGTCCCTTCCAACTCAAACCATTTTATTATTTTATAAGTACTGTCTCCCACAAAACTGCTAGGGCACAGGAGGGGTGATAAGGATAACTTTTTAGTAACCTTATTCAGGAAAATTTGTCTTAGCTTTACAAGTTGATATTGTACTGTCTGTGTAATGCCAGCAGCATAATATATATTTTGGAAGTTCATTTCCTTGCCTGCGTTCTCTGCTTCCTGTGCTCCCCACAAGTGTTTAGCATGAGACAGTGTTTTTTCCGTTTGTCCTCAGCATCAATTTACTGCTGATGTACCTCAGCAGTTGCTCAGCTGACAAGGGCAAAGTGTCCCTCGCCTTGGCCTTCAGAGCAGTGTGGCTATAACAGAGGGATTTGGGGACATTCAGTAAGCCAGGTGCACCTCCAAGCAGACCAGTCTAAGAATAGAAGGAAAGAGTACAGTAATAACAACCAAGAGCTAGGGATAAACCTAGAGAGGCACAGCATGAAAACTCTGTCATGGGACAGAATGTCCGAAGGACTCTGGGAAGGCAGTGCTGTACACATGATATGCTGCTTCTCCTCAGCAGTGGCTCTGTATCCCAGCCTCACTTGCTCCTACCCCCTTTGGGATAAATGACAGTGCTTCTACATTAGGATGCATTTTCTCATTTTTTTCCATGCTCTCTTGAATAATTTAGACAGCAGCCTTATTTCTTGCAGCTACTTCCTCACCTCCCCAGAACTCCTGTACCTCTTTATCTGGCAGTGAAAGATAAGTCTCCTTCTTTGTGACTAATACAGCTACAGGTGAGGGGCAGCAGTGTAAGAGCAGTGGGGCAAAGATAAGCATGGTACTCAAATATTTTTTGAAATCTTTTAAAATAATTACTATTGAATTAGGCTTTTCATTTTGCCAGCTTTATCCCTTTTTAGATTGGTTATATTGCCTGCAAATATATTTGACTGGAAAAACAATCAGGTTTTCTTTTGAGCAAAGGCACAAGGTGCCAGCTCTGCACAAGAACTCCAAGAGAAAAAAAGGCTCACTAATAGCAAAAATCTTGCACTGGAATTTGCAGATTAATCCCTTTTAGTTTTACGAAAAGAGAAGCTCTGATCTACTTATCAGCTGTTAAAAAGGCTTGGGAAGAGACTGTTATCAATGCTATTTCCCACCATAAGGCTGAGCAGGGAGGTGGATTCATTTGCAGAGAAGTATACCTGGTAAGAAATAGCTCTTTTCCATATCAACTCAGATTGACATTTGATAAGGTTATTCTCCATTGGGATGACATTTCAGTTCTCCACTCATTGTCATAGATTAAATGAAAAGATATAAACTTGAGAAAATTTAGAATTTGTATTTAAAAAAAATTAAAAAAGCAGATTGAAATCAAGTC